GTAGTAAATAATTTGATATCAACATGTAATATTAGTTTCTTCCCAAATACCACTTAATCATGTAACTTCACTTTGCTTAAAGTATTTTTCGACTTGAGTTAATGACATTTGGTAAAAGTATCATACAGTATTTAGAGTTTTTGGTAATAAGGCGTGGTGTATTTTCATCTGGCAATATTATACTAAATTCAAAATAAAACGATCAAACCGAGATAAAATGTGCCGAACAGAAACTGAACTCAATTGTTGTTATATAACATCAGTATTCAGTAGCAAAAAATAAGCGAACAACACATTAAAACGTGAAAGTGTCTTATGAAAGAAAAAAATGGTTATTGATTGATCTGTAATAACTTTTCTTAGGTAAAAGCCAATAACATTTTTTCCTCTGGTTTCAATGATTTTGTGAAGCCTTTACCCTGCTAAAAGCCACACAAAAAAAGTGAAAATTTTAATTATAGATAACTAAATTAAAATATACATATGTTTACATTACTGAAAACAAAAAACAAAATTCAATTAAATGTTTACTTGGGATAATGAAAATTGGTAGGATGGGGAGGAGGGCCACATTTAAAAAAGATGCAATGTGGGATGCAATTTTTATCCCCAGGACTGTCTGAACACAAGTCATGACATTGTTTCACACAGATCTCATATGACTCAGGGAGATACTTGACTTCTCCTAATATGGTTCCAAACAACAACATCATAATCATCACTACCATCTTTATCATCTTCATCATTCCCATCTAGCTCTTTTTTTTTAACGTTTTTCTAAGTTGTAATGAACTTATTATAAAATGCAGTGAATGGCTCTTTATTTATAGTCATACGTAACAATTATAGTAAACGGCTCACGGTCATAGGAACAGTATATAGTAAGTTAACTAAGATTATTTTTTTCATTAAGTTTTTTTGACTAATATTTAATTTAAAGATTATAAATATATATTATTTTGAAAAGAACCATAATAGGAGAAGTCAAGTCACAACCAATTTAGAAAGTTGATCGGCATAATAAAGAAAGAAATCCGTATCGAATACATAGTAACCAACAAAATTAGTCAATTTCTGTGGAATGTTCTTAGAATATTTTCCTTTTAAAAGTTTTAAATTATTTTTAACAGCAAACTAATTTCATTAACTTGAAACGGAGAAATCTTTATGGAGAAAGTTTACAAATTACAATAGAAGTTGGAACATAATGATAGAACTTAAACAAAGAATTTGAAACTGTCGATTTTGCTAAACAATTATTTGTTCTTCATGTTTATACCACTCCCGCTAGATTTTCGTGAATCCAATTATGAAAAGCAAAGTTGATTTTATTAGTGTGGACCTAACTCACATTCAAAAGATAGCTCAAAAGTAGAAAATTGTTACACATTTATATATTACTTACAAATTTCTTATAATTTGAGTGTAGAATAAATATCATTCTAACACATCCTCCTCATATACAAAATTGAATATTTAAGCGTAAAATTTATGGGATTAGACAACCACAAATGTGGCTTATAATCCAGAAATTAGAATATTAGACTCTGATATCATATTACTATGAACGTAATTCATACCCAAAAGTTAGCTCAAAGTGAAAGATTATCATACACTTATATATCATCCACAAATCTCTCAAAATCTGACTATAGGACAAATATCGTTTAAATTGATTTCATTCTCATTAACACTTATTGCATCGACATTAACTCTTTGCTTTTTAGCTCTGTTGTTTTCTCCTATTTTTTTGCTTTTTTGTTACTGAATCAGAAGATGCTGGTGTCTATCCTAGATAAACCATCAGCAGTTTTTTTTTCTCAATCCCAGTTCTATTGAACAATGACATTAACAAAAAGTCAAAACCCATTAGAATGTTAACTAGGGTCAAATTTTATTCAGTAATTTTACATAGATATATTAAATACATATTGCCGTTTTGCTTTTAATTATGTTAAATGATTACCTATCTCTAAATGGATGGATTCAAATATAGAAGAACCCAAGAAAAAAAAAGTTTGTTCCTCTATATCAACAAAAGCGTCTGTCCATCGATTGGAAAAATTCACTATGAAGATTTACTCTGCTCATCCTCATCTTTTAGTGGAGTGATATTTCAGCAGCATATTTCTCATTTTGGAATATAACTTTTCCACCATATTCTCTTTCTTTGAAATTGAAAAAATATTTTTTTGGTTTCAATACCAGAATATTTTGTCAATTTTTTTTACCGGTTTCCAATTTTGTATAGCGATCTGAAGATGCAATCGAATTCATTTTTACGGATTTTGGAGGTGAAAATTAACTTTTAACATTAAACTTGGGAAATTTGCCAAAATCGACCCAAATATGTTTGAATGTTCGATTTATACCTAAAGTATGATACTCCTTAAAAAGGGAAATTTGGTGTCATAGCTAGAAATCAAGAAGTATTTGCATGCGTGGGAACTAATTTTCACAGGGTGTGGAAAGTACCCAATACTCCTTCAGCTTTATTGGACTCTAACACGTCTTATGTCTTATAACGTAGACGTCTTTATATTTTCTTTTTATCTGACATCTTTACCTTTATTTCAAATCTGTTTTTCCCCGTCTTTATAGGTATGCTTTGGTCCTTGAAATTCATTTTTAATTTCAAAATACTTTTTCCCCATCAATACTGTTCTCATCTATGATTTTCGACGGCTTTCTTCCTAGTTGAACGGCGAGATATTTCCGGGTTACATCTTCTCTTCCTTTTTAAAGGGCGAGCCTCTCTAGCTTTATCGGCGTGTTTGGATCTCCGAAAATGGTCGACAAGTCTTTTACACCCCCGGAACCTGCTTCCGCGGCCAAGAACGAAAGGTACGTCTACTACTTTTCTGGGTTTCTTCGCTTTATGGTCGAAAATGGTCGTAAATGGTGTCGTGGTTGTACTGAACTCTGATTTTACTCCCACCACGTGCTTACTGTCTCTTTAATGTTGTAGATCTAGATTTAATATGCTCACCTATTGATTAGCTTTATTTAGTCCGTAGAAATCGTTTCTGCTCATTATGAAATGGATGAAATTACATCCCATCTCCTTTGTCTTCTTTATCTGCATCTGGTTTGGATATACGTTTCGTAGATCTCAGCTACCGAGACTGTCTATCAACGGTCTATGCAACATGAGTAGTCCACTGCATTATAGTTTACTACATGAAAGATATAGTCTACTATTACTTACAATCTGAATAGTTATTTACGAAAATGATGAAATTTCTTTCTCGGTAGCTAACTATGTGTCAGCTATGTTTTGAAGGGATTTGTTAAGCCTAGGAAAGCCCGATCTGAATCCTTGGTCAAATAATGTGCTCCCGCTGATACGCGATGCAGTCATTGTCATTTTCCAAAAAGTTGGTACGGTATCTGCCAAAGACGCTTGTTCGTTTACTTGTTCGTGTAAATTCCTGAACCAAATATTCAAGGAACCATCTGTGATGAGGGTTCTTAACTTCTCAGTTTTCATGAGACGGCCCAGTTTAATTCAGAGCTACCTTACATTGTTTGAGTCAGCGATTACATCAGGTAATCCAATTGCACTCTATATCCGCGGCATGAGAAGAATAATTGTTGCCGATGATATCGATGGGTGTCTGAGATGTTTAAACCAGGCGTCTAAAGCTGGAGTTGACTCGGCGACCTTAATGTTGGCAATCTGTGTTACCGCAGTTGGTCACTACCCAAGGGCGATGGAAATGTTAGACCGTGTAGTCGGTTGGAGAAGTAGAATGGAACACATGACCGTCATTGGTGAGCAAGTCATAGAATTGATCAAGAAAAAGGTGGTGCCTGATGCTCATACATCTTTGCCCCACATTTTGGTTGATTTCCCCATCTGCCGTTTGAAGCATGAGCTAATGTACTGTGAGCATTGCTACCTGTATGTTCAGTACCATTTTGTGATATTTTCTTTAGACCCATAGGTTTCCGATAAATTCAGTTCTTATTATGTTTGTAGTTCGGCATCCCTAATGTAGTTGACTATTATTAGCTGTCTACTGTAATCGAATACTTGTTGTGGGTTATTATGTGTTTATTGTTATCAATCTACTTAGTGTAATCGCCTATGTTTTAAAGTCAGTATTTGAAAAATTTATATTTAATTAGGCACGTAAATTACTTTTATTTTTTATCGTAACTGCTTTATGCACTGATAACCGTTTTTTTTTAAATCCTAAAAAAACCGAAAAACAACTTCCTTTATTACCCTTCATAACTTCACGTCTGCCATTTCTCACTTTTTCTTCTTTCAGACCATGAACTTATTTTGCAACTGTCATTTCTCTCTTCCTCTTCCCTGTTTTCTTTCATATTCCCAAATGCCTGGCTTTAACCTAAAAAGTCTCCCCGTCACTTTTCGCTTCTTTTCCGCACCTATTAACGACGACCCAGTCGCCGTATCTCTCCCTCCGACCACAGCTCCTTCTGGTAACTTTACATTCCGCTGTTTACTGTATTATTGGTTTCTGTAGATCCCGCTTCGCCGCCGCCGTCGTACGCACAAGTTATCATTGAATTTTGCAGAAATCAATTTATAGGTTATGGTCTATTAGTATATAATTACCCTAGTAGTCGTATATTTTTTGTTAGTATTTTGTAATTAGAGGTTTAATTGTTATCGTCTCTTCTCAAATGATAGATCTATGTTTTTTGTTTAGTAGGGTTGTTTCGCTCTCCTCTAGGTTTTTCTGGGTAAAGTATGAAATTCATATGTTCTGAATTTTTTAAAGTAAAAGTACTCGTTCATAATTATACAACTACTATATAACATGCGGTTCTTTTTGTTTGAGAAATTAAACATCGGTACAACCTTCGAGTCCATGTCATACACAATTTCTATACTCGATTATAGTAGTTGATTATGTTCACCTGGTAACTGATTACTAATAGTAGTGTATTTACATATACAATTCTCATATTCATACGGTAGTTGATGACTTGTAGTCAATTACGTTTTTGTGTCCACCAGTTAAACTATGAGCCGGTTTAAGGAAAGACTGTTTGCCTTAGGCAACAAACCGAAGAATAAGAAGGTGAACACCAACTTCCAGCTACCTTATCTTGACACAATAAGTTATGCTTTGGAAGAAGACCATATGGGGAAGCTGTCTTTGTCCCAATTTGGAAAACTCATCGAAGCAGGCAACAAGATTGCATCATCGGTTAGATTCTTTCACTTCATTTTGTCAAGGCAGCTGGTTACAAAGAAAAAGAAAGAGGTTTGGTGTCTCTTCGCTGGTCAGCCAATTCGTTTTTCTCTTAGGGAGTTCGCTATTACGACAGGTTTATATTGCTTTAAATTTCCTCCACCGCAAAAGCTGAAGGAAGACAAGGTCAATGAGTATACCATTGAATTATTTGGTTCTGAGAAGAATGCAACCCCTGGATGGATAGCGACAACCCTTGCTGGCCGACCATATAAAGACAAAGACACCAGATTTAAGTTGGCGTATTTACTCCTCATCGATTGTATTGTATGTCCTACTTCTAGAAATGCTAAGATAAGTGCTGAGCACATCATGATGGTAAAAGATGTTGACCAATTCCTGGAATATCTTTGGGGTCGCAAATCTTTTGATCTGGCCATCAGCATTAAAACTAGGACAGCTACCACATCGTACCTTTGTCAGCCAACATGTGCTTTTCAGGGTTTTCTACATGCACTACAGATGGTCGTTTTGGAGTGTGCTCCTTCTATACTGAAAAAGGATTTAAAAGCTAAATCAAGCAAGCCTACTTTGACGGATGAAGAGGATGAAGAAGATGAATTCCCCAAGTATACGTCCTGGTGCTATGAAACCTGTTAACATCTCTATGCCTCATGTGAAGTTTCTCGACAATAGTCAAAAGGTATGTTAAACACATTTAAATAAACGATAGTTGAATACTATTATACAATTATCACTAGACTGTGATGTCTTTCACCCATACTAGGTTTCTGATTAAAACCGAAACAAATGGAAAGCAATTGACTGTTTTAATAGTCATTTATTTATAGTCATTTAGACAGTAGTTGTCTACTAAAACTATTTGCATTTTTTTAGGTGGCTGTCAAAGAAATTTTATCGGACGATGAACATCTTCTGGATGACACCGACCTGGAGTTTGATGATGATGTCCCAGACGAAAGCGTAGACAACTTAGTGGCAGCAATCAATGACGGTCAAAAGTTTTCAAGGAAGACATGGAATGGCGGTGAAAAAGAAAACCTTCATGTAAAGCATACTAAGACACCAGCGTCATCTTCCTGGAATACATCTTTCGATGTGGATTTAGGGTTTAGTGCTTCTTCCATTCTTGATAAGGTTGAAAGTGCTAATGCAGTGGTCTTAACGGAGATAAAAAGCCTTCATGAAGATTTTGTTGATCTCCATTTCGATGTCTCGTCCGCTTTGTCCACTTTTAAGGAATATATTAAGAGCCTAAAAGGCCCTTCATCCCAAGTCGGAGCACCTTTTAAAAGAAAGCTTGCTCGTAGGGTCAAATCCAGTACTAAGAAAGTGAAGCACGTAAGATTTCAGCAAGTATCTTCTTCTGAGGAGTCCAAGTCTTCCTCTGATCACGCTACCAAGACCAAGGATTCAAGCAGTACTTCTGCTAAAACTAACGACAGCTTTGATAGTACCGTCGGTGATGGTGTTGAAGCTAAAGATGGTGATGACCAAGAAGATAGAACGGAAGATGATGTTGGTGTAGACGTGTCTAACCAAATGTAAGTCGATGCTGATGATGTCCAAGACGATGCAACTCTCACGAGTAAACAAATCACGTTTGTTCTTTCTGATTTATCAGAAACTGGACAGTTACGTAGGCAACTACTAGTATGCATCTACATACAATTCACCCTTCTCAAAGTCCGGCTCCTCTCCAGCCAAACAGATTACAGCTAACTCATCCAGCCTTTCACACTCCTCTTCATCAGACGGGACTGCACCAATAATCAACTACCATGAAAAGCTAAACAGAAAATAGTAAATCTCGCAGTAGTCATATATTTCAGTATTTATGACTACCAAATGGTTTTTTTGTGAATATAAACTCATATATGTTACTATCCGGGTACATAGTTAACTATGTCATATAAGGATACCATCGATATCATAGTTAACTAACTAACGTAATAGACATACTATGTATAACATGTAGTTAAATATGGCATAACAAGCTATTTATACACTTCTTACCGTCACCGCCCGCGCCATCCTCCTCTGTCGTGCCGTGGACAACCAAAGCTGATTCATTTATACCAGGAACCCTCACAACATCGTCTGTATTGTCATCTGTGGTGACGCACAGGTTCAGCTGGTCGATCTCCGACCTCATTTCCACAAAAAGAGACACTTCGTCATCCGAAGACATTAGCACAGGTGGCGCGCCGCGGCCGTCGTCCATCAGCATGTATGAGGGCCACTGGAAAGTAAGTGTTACGCCGACATCTTCCTTGATACCCATTTTCTCCTTAACGAGCTTTACTACCTCACAAAATTTCATCCGCGAGCTTAGGAATATCGCTTTAGTATTTCCAGTGTGGTCTGTAAGGAAAGTCCACACTCCGTTGCTCTGTTCGAACCATTTTCCTTTCACCAACAACACCATTTATCTTCTTGCCATCTACAGAAACAAGGGTGAAGAGGTCAGTTAATAGCCAACTAAAAATGTTAAGTAGTTACAATTTTTCCCCAAAAGTAGACATACCTTTGAAAACCAAAAAGTAGACAAACCCTAGGACAATTGTTTACTAGCGGCGGTTTATTGGAGTTTTCTTGTTGGCTATTTATTTGATTCCAAGGGTTTCCTCCACTAAACATATCCATACAGTTTGGCTACACGAAACAAAGAGCATATGGGATGGACAAAAAGTAACAAAAATTTACGTTGGTATTGTTTACAAAAGAAGGTAGCATCTGCGCTTTACTATATTCGTGTGGTTCCTATCTGGCTCAGAAAAAACTATGTCTACTTTTAGGGAGTAAAGGGTATAGTGTCTTTTCCACCCTTATTTTCTTGTTGACTTTCACTATGAATTGAATTGCGATGTCATATATCTAATTGGTGCATCCAGACGTAATGTTGATGCAAAACACCCTAAAAAATTGTTTTAAACATTCAAATTTCCTACATGTAGTTTTTATTTTGTGTCTATTTATACGTTTCACGTGACTGTACTAACGTTCGGTATATTTTGATGATGTGGATGCCACGATGTTTATTGAAACGTGACTGTAAACGGAGAATATGAAATTGTACAGAAAAAATGTCGTTTTGTGTGTACATCGTTTTGGAGATCCCTTAAGTCGTCTTCTTCAACTACTGAACTCAATTAAAATTGGATAAATTTTGCAGCAAAAGAACACGTTTGCCGAGAGAGAAAGAGAAGAGGACAAAGAAAAAAAAATTAAGACAGAAAAAGGAAAACTGAAGAAACCCAATAAGCAGCGATCGAAGCTTTAACACAGCAAAAAGCTCATACATTCAAATCTGACGGCAATACTACAAAACCACAAAGAGAATCCGTTGAGATTCGAAGCCATACACACGAGTACGGAAGCAAAGAAGATTCATCCTAGGTTTAGTCGGAAGTTACTTCTTCTGTCTCGTGTCTATTTGTCTGCAATTCTGGTAATCTTTTGCTTGATTTAGTTTTATCTGGTTACAAGCTTTCCCCTCGCTCCTCATTGCCTTGCTTTCTCCTTCTCCAATTCGAATTTTGATTTTTTTTTTTCATCTTTGAGTTACCCAGTTCGTGTATTTGCTCTGTTCCCAAAGCTCGGATCTTTCAAACTTCACTGATCTCGATTTACTCGTATTAAATTCCGTAAACTTTTGCTCCATCACCATTGGCACCAGCTCCATTACCATTAGCAGGAGCCCGATCAGGACCACCAGCATCTCCATCATCACCTGTCTCCATAAAATAGATAATTTAAAATTTGCATTCTATCGAACACTTGGTGGACATGAACATTACATTGCCTTCATGCTCATATCGAATGTAAAAAAAATCAAAAACGAAATGAATTACTAGACTCCAAAACCTAGTTCATATGTTATTAATCCCGAGCACACACTTCACTGTATTTCAACGAGAAGAAATTGAGAGAGGAGAGTGAAATTGAAGACTTGTGTTCGTGAGACAGAAAAAAAAACATAGATAAGCCAGAGACAAAACGTTGTCGTTTTCAAATTCTCTGTTATAACCAAAACCACATCATTGTACACATGGCATCCACGTCAATCATCCTTAACGGCACGTTAGCTCCGTGACGGCTAATGTATGAATAGGCACAAAATTAAAAGTACATGATAAAATTTGAATTTTTAAAATGTTAGGCATGTTTTTAAGTCATCTAAAACTTTAGCTATAAATCGAACATTCAAACATACTTTGGGTCGATTTTGGCCAATTTTCTATCAAACTTCAAAGTAACTAAACTTTAAAAGTATAGCTTTGTCGGAACACTTCTATTTATGAATTCAAAATTTAGCTCCAATTTGTTGTCAAACTTCTATGATTTCCACGATCACAATTTGATCTGCGGAGGAGATGGTAAAACTCGCTCAGGATCATTGCCTCGTACATAGAGACTTTTCTAATTTGATGTTAATCATTACTTTGACGAGTGCAAAAACTTACTTTAATTTCTACGGTTAATATGTTTTGTTGTTGATTTTTAAGAGAATGGATAATTCTTCTTATTTGGAATTATTTGGAAGCTTAATTTTAATGGAATCAAAAGTTAACAAAAAACAAAAAAACAAAATCAATCTTGATTAAAAAACTAGAAAATGTTCTAAAGTTCATGTAGCCTATTACGAGTGTCTAAAAGCTGATTGATTCTCAAATAAATTTAGGGTTTCAGCTAGATTTAGACTTTAAAGATAAAGAGAAAAAAAAACTGAAAACACAAAATCACAAATATTCATATATGTAAAGACAGAGAAGAAAGTATGATGTAGAAGTTTGTTGGCACAAAATATGATGTATGAGTGTCCCATTCGAATAGCTATATTTTGATTGTATATGTTTAAAACAAGTCATAGAAAGTAAAAACCAAAAAAAAAAAAAACAAGAATTCAAATACGTAAAGGTACGTATAGAGTATGTTCAATGCAGTTTCTTAAAGAGGTTTTTTAAATATTTTTTTAAATAAATTTAAATAATGTTCAAAGCAAAGAAACGTTTTTTATTAGAAGATTGAAAAAACATTATTTATTTGACAGGTGTCAACAGATTATTGGAGAATAGGGGAAGAAGCAACATGCTGAGTTTTTTTTGGATTGAATTAATAAGAAGGAAAAACTTTTTTCTGCTACTTTTTTTTTTTTCTCTCTTTTCCTCTTTTTTTCATTCTCTTTTTTTTCTCCTTTTTGATTTAAGTTTTAATATTAAAATATTTTTTAAAAACTCTTATGGGTTTTTAAAGATAAACATGCTCTTGGAACATCATTAACGTAGAGATTATCTGCTGCGTTTCTAATAGAAATCTAAAAATTGAGGCTCTGTTTCTTATTTGGGACAAACGTCTCTTATTTAGCAACTTTTGGACAATTTTTGGAGACTGTTTCTTTCTCCACGTGGTCACATGTCATTCGTCAAAGAAATTGAGAGAAAATTATTTTTCCCTTGCATCTCCTTTCATTTTCCCGATAGTTCATTTCGCGATTTTGCTCTCTTCTCCGACGAAATCGACAAAAAGATTTGTCTCCGACATCTTCTCCGACAGTGCGCGATTCTCCGACGGGGCTCTTTGGTTCGAAACGTGACTGCGAAAGGGAAGGCGAAGGAGATAAGCTCTATAAACCATAATCTCCTCTCTCTATTTGGTGTTTTGTAGTTAGGTAATCTGTGGTCATCTCGTTCTGTCTATACCGTAATCGAAGATTGTGTGTCTTAGAGTTTCGGAGAATGCATTTGGGTGTCAAAGGTTTAGGGTTTTAGCTTCTCAAAAACGCTAATCAAGCCCCGATTCTCCCTACGCAGAATGTCAAAGGTGTAATAATTATGTTTTCAGCATAAAGTGAAAACATATATGCATTTGTGAGTTAATTGTTTCCTGAATAACAGAAGATGATTATTATAAACACACAGTTTTTCTCTGATTTTGATTTACTTAATATTGATCAATGATTGCTCTGAAGAGGCATGTTGTTCTTCACAATGCTGCTTTATTGTATGATATTGAATTTTCCTTGTTTTAATAGAGAAGTTTCAAGTGTTTGTTTAGATCGGCTTAACTCAAAAACTGGCTTTTTCTTGAGTCAAGAATGTTCTATGTTATTAAGTGTTTGAACATATGGATGTCATTCATTTCATCCTAGTTGGATGTCATTCATTTCATCCTAGTTGGTTGTCATTCATTTCATACAAGAAGGTAATGAGTTTTGCTCGTTTCATATGGCTGTTTCTGTTGGCTTTTTTAAGTGTCTGAACATGGAAACGCCATAGATTTTCTTTTTCTTTTGAAGGAGGTTTTTGATGTTGTGGTTTAGCTCTGCAGGTACTGAAGGACAAACCCGATTTATCTCGATGGACCTTGAAGTATAAAGCATTTGGTCAGAATCTAGAGTACTCTTGGCTCGCTAAGAATTTGCAGGCAAGTATCATGAAGTGTTTTAAAGTAGCGATTTTAAGAAATTCTTTTGTGACTTTGAATGGTTTTTGTGCCTTGATCTCGAGAACGTTTTAAACGGCTTTGATTCTTTATTTGGATTTTTACATAATAATGTTATCTAGATTCTGTTTCCTGCAGCCTCTCCTGAACCAGAAAATACACTGTATTTCTCAAATGTAGTAGTTATGGATCTATGCTAAAGTTTGTATCTTGGTGCTTATTGACGGTCTTGTGCTGGGTAGATGAATCCACATCAGTACATAACTTTATCATAAGCTAGAATTAGTGCCGCCTTGTCTTTTCAAGTTTTCTCCTATTTGTTTGTAAGGAAATCACTGTTATACTTGGTGGCATAAATTTGTAATCATCTTGATCATTGTTCATAGTATCTTCGTGTTGCATTCGAGATGTATATTGATATGTTAATGTTTAGTCATTTCTCTCCATGTTTGGTTGTAATCTATTCTGATTCTAAAACTCATGTTTCTTTGTTTCTTTAGATCCCACACCTGAGGCCTTCTGAGTACAAGAGATCTCGATGATCCAGAAACAGGTTTCACGTTTCTTTATTATGCTGAGAAAAACGACGGAGGAAAAGCTGGTGCTGAAGGCGGAGAAGGAGAAGACGGAACAGCAGTTAAAGTCTATGATGGTTCCATCTTCAGGGTTCATGCCTCTTGAAGAATTCGGAATTGTCTTTTCTTTAATGTCATTTGAATCTCTTGAAGCTAAGTTGTGTGGATGAATGGTGTGTATAGGTTGCGAAGATGGCTGGAGAAGAGTGGAAGAACTTGACTGAGAAACAAAAGGCTCCCTACGATAAGGTCTGGTTTCAAATTAATGCTCCACTCAAACGTAGCCATTGTTTCAAGAAAGTGACAACTTTTTAAAATATAACTAATGTGTGCTTGTTCTGGAACTTTTCGAACAGATGGCAAAGAAGAACAAGGAGATATACCTGGAAGAACAAGGAGATATACCTGGAAGAACTTTTTCGAACAGATGACAACATCATAAAGGTTTCTACTTCGATTTATACAGAAATAATCCTTTAGATTACATGTTCTTTATGGCTTGATGTATGATTAGTTATCACTATCGACTTGGAATCACAATTTTACGATCAGATGGAAACAATTTAATTCTTATTAAGGGAAAAACTCTTATCTTATTGTTTCCATAAGCAGTGTATATATACATTACATAACTAATGTATCAGAAACCCTAATGAGCCATGAGACATTAACCTGATGGTTAATAGGCCGGTTACTAGAAGTCCATTTGTTTATAACACTCCCCCTTGGACAAGGTAACCGTGCCTGTCACAAAACCGGGATCTCTATAATGCGCTGGGGAACGTTGCCTCATTAAAACCTTACCAGGAAAACCCAGTGGGAAAAACCATGGTGAAGGAAAAAGAGTATAACACGCACTACTCCCCCTGGTTTAGGCATCACTGTAGATCTCTAAGTCTACGCATTCCTATCTGATGAATGAGCTTCCGGAGTGTAGAAGTCGGTAATGATTTAGTGAATAGATCGGCTGAATTTTCGCTTGATCGGACTTGCTGAACCTTGACCTGACCATCCTTCTGTAGCTCATGAGTGAAGAAGAATTTGGGCAGAATATGCTTCGTCCGGTCACCTTTGATGTAGCCGTCTTTGAGTTGAGCGATACAAGCTGCATTGTCTTCATACATCACCGTAGGCTCCTTATCTTCGTCCATACCACAATCTGATCGGATATGCTGAGTCATGGACCGCAACCAAACACACTCTCTACTAGCTTCGTGAATGGCCAAGATTTCCGCATGGTTGGATGAGGTAGCGGCAATAGTCTGCTTCATGGATCTCCAAGATATGGCTGTTCCTCCATGCGTGAAAACATAACCGGTTTGAGACCGGGCACAGTGCGGATCTGACAAATATCCTGCATCAGCAAAACCAACTAGACCATCCTTGTTATGGTTAGAATAAAATAATCCCAAGTCCTTAGTACCTTGAAGGTATCTAAGGATGTGCTTAATACCGTTCCAGTGCCTTTGAGTTGGACACGAACTAAAGCGAGCTAAGAGGCTCACGGCAAAGCAGATGTCTGGTCTAGTGTGACTAGCCAAGTACATTAATGCTCCTATGGCACTGAGGTATGGCATTTCAGAACCGAGGATTTCTTCATCGTCCTTCTTTGGACCGAATGGATCACAATCCAATCCAAGGCTCCTCACAACCATTGGGCTGGTCAATGGGTGGGTCTGGTCCATATTGAATCTCTTGAGTACCTTTACAGTGTATGCCAATTGATGCACAAGGATTCCGTCATTGACGTACTCAAGTTGTAATCCCAAACAGAATTTAGTTTTGCCTAGGTCTTTCATTTCAAACTCTGCTTTTAAGCATTCAACTGTTTGGGCGATTTCACCAGATGTTCCGAGGATGTTCAAGTCATCCACGTATACTGCTATGATTACAAATCCTTTGTTTTGATATTTTCTGATGAAGATGCATGGACTGATCGGATCGTTTTCGTAGCCTTCTCTGATGAGATATTCGCTTAACCGGTTATACCACATACGTCCGCTTTGTTTCAGTCCATATAAGGATTTGTTCAGCCTAATGCAGTGTTTATCACGAGATGCATGCTTATCTTTGAGCTCAATACCATCTGGTAATCTCATATAGATTTCACTGTCCAGTGGTCCATAAAGATATGCGGTTACAACATCCATTAACCGCAAATCTAAGTTTTCTCTTATGGCCAGACTTATGAGGAATCGAAATGTAGTTGCATCCACCACTGGAGAATAAGTCTCCTCATAATCGATTTCGGGTCTCTGTGAGAATCCTTGTGCTACAAGGCGTGCCTTGTATCTAACGACTTCGCCGAGTTCGTTTCTTTTACGCACAAAGACCCATTTGTTTCCCACTGGTTTAACATCGAATGGTGTCCTTAAGATCGGACCAAACACATTCCGTTTCTTTAAACTATTCAACTCCACGTTTATGGCTTCTTTCCATTTCAGCCCATCTGATCTACGAGTGCACTCAATTATAGACGTGGGTTCTAGATCCTCTTGCGTGTGCGCAATCTCAAGTGCTACCTTGTATGCAAAAGTTTCATTGATGTCGACATCTTTTCTGTTCCATAGAGAACCGAATATGATATAATTGATTGAGATCTCATTATTATCAATCCTTTCAGAACCTTGAGTTTTGGCGTCCCAAACCTCTTGAGATGGTTCGATAGGGTAAGTATCAGCTGAGCTGTATCCGTGTTCTCTTGAATCCCGGTTTCAATCATTGCACCTTTCTTTGATTTCCGGGGATTCTTATCTTTGGAACCTGGTGGTCTGCCACGTTTCTTACGTGCGTCAGACTCTGTAGCAACTTGACTTTTCCCTGAGGGGACATCTATTCGTACTGGTGCATTACAAGCTGGTATGTACGATTTGGTAAGTTTGTTCGGGTCAGCAAAGGAATCTGGCAATTGATTAGCTAGCTTTTGTAAATGTATAATTCTTTGGACCTCTGAATCACATTCTAGAGTCCGAGGATCTTGCCATTGTGTGGATGTTTGATTCCATGAAAGTTCTTTTACCAGCTTGTCTGTCTCACCACCTAATCTAGGATATACCGATTCATCAAATCGACAATCTGCATATCTGGCTTTAAACAGATCTCCTGTAGTTGGCTCGAGATATTTTATGATGGTGGGAGAATCAAAACCAACATATATTCTCATCCTCCTTTGAGGTCCCATTTTAGTCCTCTGTGGTGGTGCAATGGGTACATAGACTGAACACCCAAATGTTTTAATATGGGAGACGTCTGGCTCATGACCCGTTAGCAATTGGGATGGTGAATATTTGTGCTCACTAGATGGTCGTATGCGTATTAGTTCAGCGGCATGTAAGACTGCGTGTCCCCAAGCTGAGACTGGGAGTTGTGACCTCATGAGTAATGGTCTAGCAACCCATTGAATTCGTTTAATGAAGGATTCAGCTAATCCATTTTGTGTATGGACATGTGGAACGGGATGTTCAACACTTACCCCCATGGACATACAATATTCATTAAACGCTTGGGAAGTGAATTCACCAGCATTATCAAGACGTATAGTCTTTAATGGGAAGTCTGGAAAATGGGCTCGTAATCTGATGATTTGGGCCAATAACCTAGCAAAAGCCTGGTTCCTAGAAGAGAGCAGACAGACATGCGACCAGCGGGTCGATGCGTCAATGAAGACCATGAAATATCTGAATGTCCCACAAGGTGGGTGAATTGGTCCACATATGTCTCCTTGGATTCTTTCCAGAAAGTTCAAGGTCTCTTTAGACACTTTGACTGGTGAAGGTCGGGTAATCAGTTTTCCTTGAGCAAGCTGTGCACTTGAGGTGCTGAGGGAAAATACCATTTGGTTTAAGGCTGTGCCCTTTAGAATTCTGGACTAATTTACGCATCATGTTCGCACCGGGATGACCCAGGCGATCATGCCAAATAGTGTAATCTAAAAACCGTGCTTTGATAGCAGCATTAGCCTCAATCATACTGACTTTAGCATGGTAAATGCCAGTAGATACGGCGGGTATAGTTTCAAAAACTTGTTTATGGCCATTTATCATTTTAGTGATAATTAAAAACTCTTTGTTCCCTTCATCCTGAGTTTCGATATGGAAACCATTCAATCTTATGTCTTTGAAACTCAATAGGTTTCTCTTAGAACTGGGTGAGTATAAGGCATCAGAGATGTCTAGATATGTGCCATTTGATAACAACACATTAGCTTGGCCATGGTCCTCTATTAGGCTCGAACTACCAGCTATAGTGCTAATGTTTGCGGTTTTGATTACTAAATTTATGAAGTAATTCTTGTCTTTTAGAATGGTGTGGCTCGATCCACTATCCACAATGATATCCATATTGTCTTGCATATCTTTTCGCCAAATGGATTTCTGACCGGCTTATGATCTGGGAGCTAAAGACCACAGATATCTACTGGAAACTCCTGAGAATGATGGCCAGAAGGGAGGACGAACAGCTGCTACAATGGAGGAACCACCGCTTGGAAAGAATCACCCGCTAAGGTGGGACAGCGCCGATTGTTTTGAGTCTTGAGGGCGCGTCTGGTGTCGGATTGAGGAGCGGTTTTCACCACTAGATTCTTCTCTTCCAGGGCTTCAAAATGATATGTAGATCGCCTTCTAACTCCTTGTATTTTGAGAGATACGATCGTTTGAAGTTGAGCTTCGTGCTGATAACGTATTAAGGGAAAAACTCTTATCTTATTGTTTCCATAAGCAGTGTATATATACATTACATAACTAATGTATCAGAAACCCTAATGGGCCATGAGACATTAACCTGATGGTTAATGGGCCGGATACTAGAAGTCCATTTGTTTATAACAATTCTTAATTTTGTAACAGAATTTTTTTTTTAAAACCCTATGAGTCTCTCCGTTGAACAGCCCAAAAATGTGGGTTTCTTATCCAGGTTTTTTATTTAACTTTATGCTGAAAAAATAATAAAAAAATAATTAAGAGACTAATACGGGTCTCTGTGTGTTGAAGATGCTCTTATGTTTCCAATTAATCTTTGGGGCTTATGCTGCGATGTGTGTTTTTTTCTTTTTTTTCAAATCAATTGCAAATAGACATTGATAATGAATAATGATCCATATATATGGCAACGTTATAACAAGAATACGTTGTTTTTTTATGGCTCAAACATCAACTTTCATTAATCTATAATAGATGCTTACAAATGATTATCCACCTGAACAACTGGTAATACCCAATTTGGCACTACAGAATACAACTTAGGAGCATAATTCTCTAAAGAAATAGCTTCATTTTCTACTCTGTCTGCCACTCTATTCCCTTCTTTTGCCTGGAAACGAATTGCGACTTCCTCAAAATGAGACATCAGTGTTTTGATATCTTCAATAGCTGGGGAGAGCATTGGCCAAGTCTCCTCACCCTTAACTAATGATACTAACTGATTTGGGAATCGCCGTTGCCCCTATCCAAAGCACTCTGCCTTCATGATTTCTTAGTACCCACCCAAGACCGCTACTTCCTCCATTATTAGGCCAAGGTCCGTCAGTGTTGCACTTTAGCCAGTCTTGTTGAGGTGGGCGCCATTTCGAAATCACAGGCTGTTCTCTCCTTTGTAAGTTCCTCCGGAATACGTTGATTCATTCGAGCTCACCATTTTTAAATCTTCAGTTTTATTTTTATTTTTTATTTATTTTTTAGGTCACCGTATTTTGTTAGGGCCTTTTATTAAGCTTTTTTCTATAATTTTCAACTCTATAATAATCACAAGACAATTTTTTTTTTGATATACAATTTTGTCTTTTAAACCAAAAAAGGAGACATGAAAAAACAAAAAGAACCAAAGCAAGCACTGTTAAACATAAATCCTTTCATATTTTAAGTGGTTGATGTTTGGTTTTAAATTTGTTCGTTTTTAGTTTCCAATGATTTCATGGGTTCTCTCATTTTCCTTATTGCATATGCATTTATCATATAACTTTTAACAAGATCCAAATATATTCAAATGTCATTTTGTTTTAGTCAATGAAAATTCAATTATATTACTAATTACTTCACAGTAAAAAAAATTCATATTTAGTATGACCAATAACCAGTTACTGATTTTCATTAATTTCCAGAAAACAAATATTTCTGTTCTTAAAAAAAAATCTTATCTTTATTTAACAAGTGTTTTACCCGTAAGGTAGCACTGTGCTAAAACTAGTTTGAAATATAATCTTCAAATGGATTAGTGGAATTGTGAGAAAATGGAGATTACACAATGGCAAAAAGCTTGATAGGTTAGTGGAATAGTTAGAAAATGGAGATTATACAATGGTAAAAAGCTTGTAAATGTGGGTGAAGGAGCAAAAGGACAATGCTTGATAAGGGAGTGATAATTGTGTCCATCAAAAAAGAGCAGACACGTGCGCATACTCACCACTCCACACTCAAAAAAGATAACCAAATGGTACAACAAAGTAAATTAGATGAGTCTTAGTTAAAATAGAATAACAAAAACACAATCATAGTAACATGTTATCTATTTCCACCACCAATCTTGTGTTCACTTTCCAATGTCGACCAAAGTAACAGCATTTTACGAGCTACTTTCTCTGTTCCTTTTACTCTTTTGTGTCCTTTAGAATCTGTTTTGTTATTGAGATTTGATTTGAGAAAATTATGGATCAATTTTGAATACCCACTTTGTGAGCTCTGTTCATTTGAACGAAGCTAGCAACACGTGATTTTGGTAGGCCATTGCTGCGATTAATTAGACACAGCGACATAATTTTTTCCACCTCCGTTCAGTGTGTCTTCTTTGACGTCTATTTTTTGCCATCGAACTTTATCGCAGCAATGGCTTACGTACCAAACATGGTCGTGGTAGAAAGTTGTAAACTTAGGCATGTTTCAGATATTATTATTACATCGCCCATAAAGTGAAAGAGATATTAAAATGTCAAATGAGTGTTTGTTTTGACATGAGAATATGTAGAGCACCACAAGAAAAAAAATAGGAACTTGGGACAAAACAAGATTTACTACATCATGCTTAATAAATTATGAGATAATAGTCGGATTTGACACTACTTAGTAAGTAATAGTAATGGTAATTCTATATATCTTTTGACATGCTCAAATGAACCATTATTGTCTGGCTTTGTCTCTTACCATATCACCTTTCTCCACAACATCTACCTTTCACAATCATTTTTCTACATCTTTTTCTTTACTTTTTTTTCTTAAAACAAAAAAAAAGACAACTTTTGCTGAACTCTAGACTTTTGATCTGTAAGCTTGTCTAGATATTGAGATCAGACCATGTTTTTGATAAATGAGACTCAAACATAGCACCGTATTTAACCTTAAATCAAACATAATTTATTGTTAAAATTATAATTATAATATTTTTTTGTCGTCAATTATAATTATAATCAACTAAGCTTCTTTTGTTTTGGTGCAACCCAACTAAGCTTTTACGTTATAGAAAAATTAAGCGTGCATGATTCCTTTAGTTACTTCCATCTCTGTTTTTTTTTGGTCAAACAACTTCCATCTCCATCTCTATTTCATGTTCTTTGATTTAATCACAAAATAAAACCCACCTTTTTCTATTGAACAAAACATTCATAATTGTTTGCATTAAGATTTATTCCACAAGGGTTTGTAGTATATATAGATATTATTTTTTTCATCGCACAAATAGTTTTATAATTTTTCATATGATGTAACAAATAACAGTGTGTCATACTTTATCCTTATTCACATCGATCCTATACACTGTCAGTTATATCTTTTTTTTTTTTTGCTAAGCATGTTAATAAGTTATATCTTTTTTAACTAAATAGTCACCTTTTAACTATCCTTGGATTAAATATATCTTATACACACAAAATATTCAAAGTACTATTACATTTGCGAATAATTTATATATATTTTAAGAAGAAGAATAGGTAACAAAACAAATGATTGGAGTCGGAAGGAGAATGTTGGTAATATGCTTAGCAGCGTGGCTGCGTGTGCACCGTTGCAAGTCAGCGATTTCTTCTTTTGCCTCCTTTAGTCTCTTTCTCATAGATCACTTTATGATTGAAGGGGTTCTATTTCTTCTTTTCTAAAAAAGGTTGTGGTTCTATTTCACTTCTTCTTTTTTCATCAATTCTCTTTTAGAGTACACCATTACACATAATTTATATATGTTACAACAAACATATTGACATCAATAGAAGAAGAAAAAAACATTCCTGTACTAATGCGTAGATATTTTTAGAATAATAATAACAGCAGATTATATTATTTCTAATTGTACTGTAGTTTCTCATCATATTTTTCATCTTATCTTAACTAGAGTTATCCTAAATCAAAAACAACTACCTTTCAGGGCTTCTGTAAAACTAAATTTTTTCCTAAATGTTTTTTACCACTTCATATCAGCAATCTATGTAAATGAACTTAGTAAAGAGATTAGGGATTATTGGTGAATCTGTAACAGTGCTTTTTTTTTTCTTCGGACATGCGCTTCCGTTTGACTCTCCACAAAACTACATCTTAAAAATCTTCCATTAATTTTTTTTCCTTATGTATCTTGGCAATCATCTTAAAATCTAACGAATTTGTATATAGCTTTTTCGATTCTGGTTACAACATTTGGAGAATTTGTGAGATTACCAACAAAAAGACAAGTCTGTTAAGGTAAAATCCTATAAAAATTATTTTTTATATTGAATAGATTTTCTTTTCAATCGCTTATGAAGCCTCCATTATAAAAAAAAAAAACCTTTCTTTCGAAATTTAACATTCAATTCAAAAAAGAAAGTCTTTAACATTTTTACAACAAAATTATTTTTATTAAATTTTAATGTTACCCATTCTTTTCATTTCCGAAAAATACGGCGACTTCCAAAGTCTTTCGTATTTTTTTTAATTTACAAGCAAGTCGAAATCCAAGTTTAAAACTTACCATCAAGTCACTAAATATTACTATAATCATGTCGTTTGTTCTCAACTTCTCATTAGCAGACTTAAGAGGTTTTGATAGCTTTTAACAAGCCTTCAGAAATATTGACATATTCTTAGAAGAATATTGACAGATTTTGGCTTAGTTATGATAAACTACTGACAGAATTATATGACATATTGTTCACAGAGTTATAACAGATTACAGACATATTTTTCGTAATTTTCTTTTTGTAGAAATGGCATGCAAACTTATAAAATACCAACGTAGATAATAGACTATAGGCATACGGCATACATATGAAAAAATGTGTATAAACTTATGATGACTAGAGGGTCACCTCTAAAATTAACTACTAGTTAGTAGATTAACCATTTGTTAGGCGATTGTCAGCCGGACGAATCAATTTGGATGTCCGAGTCTAATTTTTTAAAATATGCCCTTTTATAATTTTTTCAAAATTAAAATAATAAAAAATGAAACAAAAATTTCATAAAACAATCAAACTCTATAAACAGTTTGTAAAAAAAGAAAAAAAAATAAAATATATAGTTTATTGCTAAAATATAGATCTTCTTACATTTTCCATGCAAAATCATTCATTAAACTATCGTAGTCGAGTTTTTCAACTATAACTGTCCCAAAAGTTTGTTCATATTTTTGGAATTGTTCAAACCTGAACTCGAGAGAAACTAGAGCTTGATTCCTAATAAAAAAAATTTTAACAAAAAATATGGCTTTTTTTTTTTCTAACCGTAGGGATTCCAAAGGCTTTCTAAGCCCAAAGACTAATCTCACGAGGCCTTGCATCCGGGTACGCGTTCGGAAATATTCCAAATTTAAAGCGCGGCTAGGTGAGCAAGGCAACTCGAACCCAGGAATCTCCCACTTGGAAGTTACCACTGGACCAAGACGACTTGGTTAAATATGCTATTTTAGAGTGGATGCCGCAAAAAAATAGCCTCCCTCGCCTGCGCTCAAAGCCGGCCCTGGCGATTGTGCAACTGACAGATTCACTCTATGTGAAGACTAAAAGTGAATTTAGTATATAATCATCCTTTAGCGAGATTTCGTTTTTCTTATGTAATGTGTTAAGTCAATAATGTTTTGGTTGACACAATAGCAAAGAGCTCTCTACGCTCACTTGTATCGAACCCCTGATTAATTAATGGAAATAAAAAAATTGCACCAAAAAATTTGCGGCGTGTGAAGACTATTATGGATGAAACACGTTTACATCATCAATTGTTCTAGTATCTTTTTCTTCTAAAACTTCACTTAGTAATTAGTTTATACAAACAATAAATTATATATGAATGGCAGACAAATTTACTTGAGATAATAAAAGAAGCTCTTACTAATCGTGAAGCGGGTCGAAGCAGACAGAAACGCCATCGTTAGGGATTCGTCGTCAGTCAAATCTAATAAACCAAAAACCAACTCTCTCACGAAGCTTCCTTCTCGTTGAACTCGGCAATTTCAAAGTATGAATGTATTCACTTAACCATTTATGTCATATTTGTAATTAGATTAATTACGCAAGTGGAATGTCTAATGACATGCATGTATATAAACACACACATATTAATGTAAGCACATATAATGTCGTGATGTGTGTATGGGGGATTTTCATGCTTATTTTACGGGATGTCTCTTTCTCCAATCACTACAAATCCCGGTGCATGAGCAGGATTCATACAATTTTTATTTGATTTTACAAATAATAGGTTATGGAAATACTAAAAAACGTCCTCCAAAAGTGAAATCATCTTCTCTATCCACACAATTAGCTCATTTGGTTTATATAAATCTTTATGCATAGCACCACTCCGAATAAAATGAACACAATGTCTAAGATAATTAATGACACTTGATTCTACTATATTTTGAACTATAACTTTAAGAAAAAAATTATTTTGGTGTCATGGATTGAGAAAATGGTTATTCGAGGGAGAATCTTTGGGGAAGAAGATTTTATGGATTTAGAAAAGGTTAGTCAAGTTTCCTTTACTAGCTGATCTTTTCCTATCTTTCCAAATCAAGCCAGGTACTTAATTTATCTGTCTTCTGGCATGATGACTTGACTTCTCTAGGATCCTTGATCGATTTAACAGGCTCAAATGGTCTTAGACTTTTCAGGAATTTCGTATTTTGCTAATGTTTCTCAAGTGTTCTCCAATGAATTGTCGATGTTATCAAGAATAGGACGCCCAATTTTGGTTCTCTTTCGGGCTTGTCTACCTTCATCTCCTCATGATTTTCTAAGCAATGGGGGAATTTGATGTATAAACCTCCAAAGATTTTCTCTTCTTCAAATACATGGTATTCTCTCTCCATACTTCATGCTTTTTGATGTGGTATTTTTCCGTGATCGGTTCCCTACTAAAGATCGTCTTCTTAGTTGGAGATTGGATGTCCCTAATGGTTCTCTACTTACACGGAGTATTTTTTTTTTTTTAGTTTATTACCCTCGATCTTTGAATCTTACCAAAATCATTAAGGTAGGTATGTAAAAACAAAAACAAAATCTATACCATCCGAAAATAATTTTTTTTTTTTTTTTTTAACAAACAAACAAATTTATTGATTATGGTAAAAATTACAATCTTTGAATACATTATTTGACAACCACAAAAGTAGACAAGTTTTTCAGAATAAAACAGATTATTAGAAGGACTATGTTTAACTAAGAGATGTGCCGGAGTGTTATTCTCTCTTGAAGTATGCATGAATATGCATTTGAGAAACAAGTGCTTCCAGTGAAGGATTTCAGAACAGATGTTTGAGATTTGATAATTTTCAGATTTAATAATAAGTTTAGTAAATTTAGTAAATTTCTATTATCCGAATTTCCATATATATAATAAGTTTTGGATTTTTTTGACTACACAAAACAAGATATTCAGATTTCATTTTTAAAAGACTAAAAATGAGAGAAAATATAATGGATATATGGAGGCATGGCAAATAAGTTTTTGCCTCTTGATTTAACGACAATGCTTCTCTTCCTCACAAATGGTTGCCTTTCCATTGGTTGGCATTCGCATGCACCCCCAACTTATTTTAATTATTATTGTCGTTAATATAATAAACTATAATCTTCGTTATGATTATGGTGATGCATTTGTTACGCCTTTATTTGCTCCTCATGTGCTTACTCTACATCATTTTCGACTTCAACTTAATTCATCAAAATTTTCTTAGTAAATGATTTATGTCTCCACTTTCCAATATCATTCCTTATATGTATGTTGAAATCGGTTCCAATCTTATAAGAAAAGATGTTAGAAGAAACATAGAAATATGGAGGTCGAGCCCGGAGCTTCTTACAAATCACAAGATAATGTATCACATTTTATTTAACATATAACTCAATTAATCCACCAACGAAACAATGACAAAAATGCCACATAAAAATGAAGGCCAAAATTTTTGCCGAATTCAGACCAAAATTATAATCTCGATGGATTGGTCTAATTGACAAGATATCTGGCAAATTTTTTTTTCTTTTTAACGAGCAATAGTGGTTTTGGTATACTGATTTATTCAGAAAATTTATAGAAAAGTGTTAAAGAATCTTAAATTAGTTATGCCTTTTGGTGATCCATAAATTCTAACTATTAAAAAAAATACAGGTTTGAACTTAAAATATTCAGTAAATAAAAATAAAACTGCAATTTGATGAAAAAGGTGAATGTTTGACGTTAAATATGAATTAATAAGAAATAAAACAAAATGAAATGAGGAGTTGTTAAAAAAAAATTACAGAACTAAGACAGCCAAATTTCAAATTTCGATTTCTTTCATGGGCTTCTACAGTGTTCATGTCTTTATGATCACTTGTAGATTATATTGATGCAAAAAAAAAAAAAAATCTCGTTCTAAAAAAATATTGGTTACATTAAAGAAGTGTACATATGGATAATGGAAGAACCCATAAACAAATAGAAGGGTAAAGAAATTGCTGAAGTGGATTCTAGTTGACATACACATCTAACATTCCTCCCAATCATTTAAATAAATAATATAAACTAATATCAAAATGCATTATCTATTTCTATTCGAAAATACCGTTTTTGTTTTTCAAAAATCCTAAAGTGTAATGATGGCTTGAACACCCCACGAGCCATTCACGCATCAACTTTGTTATTCCCCTAGAAGAAGAAAGAATATAATCTCAAATCTCACTACATCTCCATTTACTTCCTTCAAATCAAATCATTCTCACTTTGGCTTTGCTTTGCTTCTCCAATGGCTCTCGAAACTTTCCTAATAAAACTCAAAAACGCCATTTCCTCCAAACCCACTTCTCGTCGACAAATCCGGCCATCTCCTCCGATCACCACCACCACCACTTCCTCCTCCGTCGGAGTTTTATCGTTCGAGGTAGCACGTGTCATGACCAAACTCCTCCACCTCACTCACTCTCTCACCGACTCTAATCTCATCACTCTCCGTGATCACTCTCTTTCCTTAGAAGGCCTCACCAAGATCGTCAATGGTGACGAGACCTTCTACCTCAGCCTCGTCTGTGCTGAGCTTGCCGATACTCTCGCACACACCGCTGATTCTGTTTCCAGGCTGAGCCGCCGCTGCACCACCCCGAGCCTCCGCTCCTTCCACCGCTTATTCCATGAGTTCGCCGACATGGGTCGTGATCCTCATGGTTGGGTCATGAGCTGTAAAGATACCGAAGCTAAGAACAAGAAAGTCGAAAGGTAACAACTTTTTCTTTAACATATGAAAACAGAGCAAAAAAAACAGAGCAAAACAGAGAGACTGATTGAGATTGCTTTTTTTTGTGTTTGTTAATGGAATCCAGATATGTGAGTGTGACGACGGCTTTGTATAGAGAGATGGAAGAGATGACGATATTAGAAAACTCCCTGAGAAAACACAGTTTACAGATTGGGATTGAATGTGAAGAAGAAGAAGACGACATCGACAACAAGAAAGATGCGATGAAAGTGATTGATCTGCAGCAAAAGATTGAGAGACAGAGACAACACGTGAAGTATTTGAAAGACAGATCTCTTTGGACAAAAAGCTTCGACACTGTCGTGTTGATTCTCGCCAGATCGGTGTTCACAGCACTCGCGAGACTCAAATCGGTCTTCTCCTCCGCCGCAGCAGCATCCGGCTGCCACGTGGTAGGCCCCACCGTCGTTTCTTTTCTCCCTCGCTCTCTCTCTTCTTCCTCTTCGTCGATGAACCTCGTCCACCCGAGCCCAAACGACGAGGAGAAAGACAAAACGGCGTCGTCCTCTGCGTTTCTTGAAGAAAGCTCGAGACTTTTGAAACCGCCGGAGACGACTCTCGGCGGATCCGGCGTGGCGCTTCACTACGCGAATCTGATAGTCGTGATGGAGAAGATGATAAAGCAGCCGCAATTGGTGGGTCTCGACGCGAGAGACGATCTGTACTCGATGTTGCCGGCGAGCGTGAGATCGTCGCTCAGGTCGAGATTAAAAGGAGTTGGGTTCACGGCGACTGACGGTGGCTTAGCGGCGGAGTGGAAGGCGGCGTTAGGTCGGATTTTACGGTGGTTGTTACCGTTGGCGCAGAATATGATTAGGTGGCAGAGCGAGAGAAGCTTCGAGCAGCAACACATGGCTACGTCGGTGAATAGTCAGAACAGAGTAATGTTGGTTCAGACACTTGTGTTTGCTGATAAAGTTAAGACAGAAGCTGCCATTACAGAGCTTCTTGTCGGGTTGAATTACATTTGGAGATTCGAAAGAGAGATGACTGCTAAAGCTCTGTTTAATCTGCAGTCTCCTCTTCCTAATCACAGCTAATTTTACTGTAGAGCTTTTTGTTTTTTTTGTTTTTTGTTTTGTGGGTTAATTTTTGGTTTCTTCTTCTTGGTTTAATTTGATAATACGAATTTATGAAAATGATGAAAGTGATTTGAGTTGGGTTTGACTGGAGAGAAATTATATAAAAAGATGATTGTGATGTGTAAGTGTGTAACAACAATGTATGTAGATACTAGAATGAATTTGAGTGAATTTTCTTACAGTTAAATGTAAACATGTAATCGTCAAAGAATGAGATTTGTAGACTTCTAATAGTGTCGCAGGACATGTCATAATCCAAATTTAAATCTAAAAGTGTGTTTAACTTGAAGACGATAAAAAAAACTTCCAAATTTGTTAAAATCAGTTAAGTTCCTACTTAATTGAAAACTCCCATTTAAGATTTCAATTGCTCAACTCCGTTAGTTGGCAGGAGCCGAAATTTAAAGCAATAAAGATATATTTTTTGATGAAATGAATATAGAGAATAGATTTAGATGTCGAATATATCAAGTGCACCTAAAACACTTTACCTTTAAAGTATGTTTGACTTTACATTAAAAGTACTAATAATCTAATCAATACTCAGATCAGTGCGACTCATGCTAGAGGTTAAGAGTCAACTAACCTCTGCATTTTCATTATAGTTTAATAGACTTGTTTTTAAAGAAATTTAGCTGAATAACCATATTAATTATTAAGTGAAAGACTAAAACAAATTCAAATTAGGTTAATGATCATTGAGAAGACCTGCAATTTTATGGTTTATACATATTTCTGTTTTTTAATTAAATAAATTATTTGTTTAAAGATGGAGTTATACGTTAAAGGTATAAGGTAAAGGCGGTATACATCAAAATTCAAATTTGATAAACACAAGAAATTTTTAAATTCTTAGAAGTCACATGATATCCTTGTTACATATACCATTTTTCTATGAAACATATATTGTTGAAGTTGAAATTCTTGATTGAATCTTCAACAAGAAGAGAAGGAGATATCAGTGAAACGGAAAAGAGAGAAGAAGAGCAAAGCAAAGAGGAAACGATGTTGTGTGTCTCGTCAGAGGAAGAAGAAGAGAAAAAAGTCAACAAAAAGGAAGTTAGGCTTTGTGTGATTTGAGCTAATGAATGAAGTGGGCCTACATTTTCTACTACAGCCCAAGAGTAAACAAGATGTTAGTTTGGTTAAAGAAACTAAGTTGAAGTTAAAGTTAGAATGGTTTAAGAGTTGTTAGAGTCTAAGTGTAGTTGTAAGAGTTGTTAGGAGTTGGTGCAGTGTAAGATGACTTGTGTAAGAGAGTCTAGGATCTAGAAGTATGGTCCAAAGCATGGATACAAGTGTGTGTGGCAGGTAGAAAGTAGTATAAGTATGTATGTGGTTTGTAAGAAAAAGAATCGATTGATAAAATAACAAAAATGTAGTTCTTGAAGTTTATTCTCTCTTCTTCTTGTTTTCACTTAGAACAAACAACCAAAAACAATGAGTGAAACAGAGTTAGAGAGAAAGAGAGAGTGAGAGATCTAGAAAAGAGAAACAAAAGAGAAAGAGAGAAAGAAAACAAACCTGAGTGAACAAAAGAGAGAGTGTGAAGAATGTCAACATGGTATCAGAGCCAGGTTATCCTTGGAGCCTGTTCAAGAAGAAGGAAAATGTCCATGGAGAAACTGGTTCTTAGCCGTGATGGAGAAGCTGTGAAGGAGCAAAAAAAAAAGAAGAAGAAGAAGAAAAGAAGAAGAAGAAAACAGAGAAGGAGATGAAGAACCTTCCAACGTTGAAGACCTTTCAGCCACTGAAATGGAGAGAAGATGGAAGTGGTTGCTGAGGGAGATAGAAGAAGAAGCCTGCATAAGAAAGAGAAGTGTAAGGCAAAAGAACAAGAGAGAAGAGCAAGAATGAAACTGTCAAACAAGAAGAGAAGGTGATGAAGATGGCAGCAAAGACGACAATGGTGGTGATGACAAGGACGTCGACGCTGGAGATGAAAAGAAGGAGCCTGCACAAAAAAAAGAGATGTGTAAGGCAAAGAAAAAGAAAGAAAGAGAAGCTGGAAAACCAAAGTGGTGGTGAAAGGAATCAAACAAACCAAATCAGGAAAAGCTGAGGTTGATGATTCTAGAAACCAAACAAAGCCACTAAGGTTGAAGATTCAAGCAGCCAAACCACTAAAGCTAAGAAAGCTAAGATGATAACTCAAAGAAGAAGCCAAACAGACTACAGTAAGAGAAGCTGAGGTGATGGTTCAAGAGTCAAAAAGGTCCAAAGCTAAAACTGAAGGGGATGGTTCTAAGAATCAAAAGGAAGCAAAATTGGTGTTCAAAGAGGACACCAAGCAAGAAGGAAAAGAAGCTTACCTAAGAGAAATGAAGCTGAAAAAGCTGCAGAGACATGGCAACGCGACAACGGCGATGGTGACACATTGTCTAAATCCGTTGCTCTGAAGAAGAAACACTCCATGGATGAGGTCTAAGCCAAAGACCAAGGAAGCTTGAGGAGTTGTGATGGGGGTGTGTTGTGGGTGTCGAGGGTTGTCAAGTTTTACCCTAATTGAAATCGATAGCCGCAAGTGCACAGCTGATCAATTGTAGTACTTAGGGATCGAATCTACATGGAAGGAGGATATTTTGCTGCAAAAAGCCTTTGAAATAAGTTAAAATGTAAAAACGAAATATTAAAAGAGAGTGCGGAAATTAAATGGCGTAATAACTAAACTTAACGAAAATAACTAAAAATGATAAAAACGGATATTCTAATGCTTAAATGAAAATGAACTAAAAAGGACAGACAATATTGAACTAAAGCTTAAAGAAAATCGGTGTAAAACAATGGAGAAGAAAGCGTTGGGGTTCAGGGAAGTTTTCTCAGGGGTACGAACGATTCAAAACATTGCTAGAGAGTAAATTGATAAGATCTTAGCTTAAACTTTTCGAACTGGAGTCACGGACGTATGAATACGCCACTGTCGTGATCATAGACAACTATCTCTCTCAACCCTGACCAGTAGGTTTCCACTCTGGCCCTGGAAGAGAAGAGATGCATTATATTTAAGACTCGTCCTAATTCACAAATCGCCCATAGGTAGGTTTCCACTCCTATGTTTGTTTTGCTCTTCTAAACTAGATCTGATACCTGATGAACACTTTCATGTCACCAAGCATCTGGATCAGATTGTAGTTCATGACGCTACCCTCATGCAGTAAAAACAAATTCAGAAGAAAAAGTTCTAAGATTCAGCTCAATAGCCAATGGAATCCTCACCGAACATATAAATCCCCATCGAAAATCCCTTAATCCCAACAATAAAACTACTCAGACATAATGAACGAAATCAAAGACATAATATTAAGAAGTAGAATAAAAACCGAAATTGAAAAAGAAAGAACAAGGGTTCAAGAGAAAAAATCTCTCTCTCCCTAAAAGCTAAAGCAAAAACAATAAAATTTTGAAGTAATGAAAGATGATATTCGGTTCCACCATATTCTAGGGCTCCTAAGACATGTATTTATAGTGCTCAAGACCTCTCTGGACGTCACTTAGGGTTTTTCCAAATGTGGACTTCAGAAATGGGCTTTTTGGGCTCGGAGGTTGAAGGCCGCGGTCGGGACAAGTGTGACCGCGGTGGATGAGTGATTTGCCGCGGTCGGGATACTCCTGACCGCGGGAAAATGCTTGTTGGCCGCGGGTGGAAGTGCTGGCCAGCTGGTTTACGGGACATCTTGCTCTTCGCGTATCTTTTGATTGAACCGTTGGATTGCCAAGCTGTAAAGTGCACTGGAAAGCTGATATTTCCATCTTTAAGATCACCAAATTTGAGCTGGATCAGACGGTGAGAAGGCCTTCAATCAGGGGTGAAATTCTGATGGTTTGACTCTGAGCTGAAATCTGGTTTTCTATCCATTTTGTTAAGCTTTTCCCTAAGTTACCTGAAAAGAGTCTTGAAACTACAAATACTAGAAAAACGTAATAAAAGTACTTAAAATCAATTAAAAACATAGAAAAAGTATTTCAAAACGATCCATAAAAGTGGTCAAAATACGGTGTTATCAACTCCCCCAGACTTAAACCTTTGTTTGTCCTCAAACAAAGCAAAAGCCTAAACTGGTTAAGTGAAAACAAAAATAAGGAATGCACAAATCTCATAGACATGAACTCTAAACTAGGACCAAAGATAGTGCATCAATCCACAACTTAGTCTAGAAAATTCTCACCAAAGCACAAGAGATACTAGTCCACTTTTTCCGTCATGCAAAACTTAAACAATTTAAATCTTGATTTCAGTCAACTAGCTCTCTACATTCATTAAGTTCAATAGTGAGTTCTCATTAAAGACATCATCCAGGGTAGACGGCGTTTGGCATTAAAAGGCTATTTAAGTGGTGGAGTTAAAGTGTTTCGGGTTACCTGAAGATCTGGAGGATGCAAGATAATATGCAAAACCGCAAGAGAGATAAGGACCTGTTGATGACCACAGTTTTCAGTCAGTTCTTCTTGCCAAATGTTGTTGCATAATCTTTCCTCCTTTGTTGTAAACAGCTGTTCCCCCAGACTTAGATTCTTTCCGGGAATCAGAAAAACAATCTCCAAAACTCCATAAAATCAAACTCCAGTTGCCTTGGGACTTAAAATTCGACCTCTCTAGACTCTCTAAGGCTTTTATCTCCTTATTTTCGGATTGTTTTTTTTTTTTTTTTTGGGAAAAGAAATGCCTTTTAAAGAGAGAGAGAGACTAGAGGACGAGATTGTACTAAAATTTGAGATTTTTCTAAGGCAAACTGAGCTTCCTCTTGTGTTGAATCCTTCCGGGAACTTTTCCGGCAAATCACAGGTCTTTGTCCTTGGTGACTGAAAACTGCGTCGTTCCTCTTTCTCTCCAACGTTTTTGCACTTATCTGCATATAAGACAATAGAAAACAAGAGTGCATGTGGGTTGAAAGAGGATTGGTTAAGGTGGGGAACTAGCTAAAAATGAACTAGCCATTCAGGATCAACAGAGAGTGGTAAAAGGATAAAGGAGTCCTGAATGTATGATTCGTTTCCCTGGTCTAATGCTTCAATGAGGAAATTAAGTCCAAATTAAGTCCAAATAAAACAGAGCTAGTGTATCCCTTCATCTAAATCGAAATCATTCAAATTCCTCTGGGGTACTTCGTTTCAAATGTGCTTAGCTACCGCCTAGTCTAGTCCTAAATCATGAATGAGCATGTCACTAGGAACAGTCTAAAAGCACACAGTCAACTATCATTGATTCATGTTCACCATTCCTTTTTAAAACGTATTTTGTTTTGAAAACCGATTTTGAAAAACTTTAAGGAAAATGCAAAAAATGTAGATAATGCAAGACTCATGAAAGAAAAGTGGTTAGAAAGGGATGAAACCCTCCCCCAGACTTAAATCACACTGTCCTCAGTGTGAAACAAGTCGAGATTGGATGAGAAAAATGCATAAATAATCGAATTGGCAAGGACAAAACTTACCTGGATCCGGGATGCTGGTGGAGATGAACCGGATTCATTCGAAGGGGTTTGGGAAGGTGATTAGGTGGTGATGAAGGTGGTGGATGGTGATGAATGAGGTGGAGGGTGATTGGTGAGGTGAAAGGGGGTGAAAGGGGTGGTTTGGGTCGGGTTTGGATCTCAACGACCAAGTGCCGCGGTCAGGGGCTGCACGACCGCGGCAATCAAGCACTTGGCCGCGGTCAGGACTACGCGACCGCGGCCGACAGTAGGTTTCCCGCGGTCAGAATGTCTGCGACCGCGGGGGCTTATATCGCGGCTTCTTCCTGCTTCTCCTTGGTTCCTGCTGGGCCGAGCAGTCAGGTACCATCCTTCTTTTTGGTTTTTTCGGGTTTTTTGATTTTTTTTTTTTTTTGGCCTTTTTTGTTTTATAAGAAACATCTGAAACTAAGAAAAAGAAAGAGATCAAAAGAAAAAGAAAGAAAAATCCTAAAGAAAACAATACCTAAATGGGTTGCCTCCCATTAAGCGCTTTTGTTTTAAGTCGTTCAGCTCGACTTTTGGTGTTGGACGTGACTTATTCCAATGAAGAAGACCTTGTCCTGAGACAAGTCTTTTTCGACATCTCCTTGCTTTGCTTAGCAGGTTCTTCGTCACTCCAAAGTTCTTCTTCAAACTCTTCTGCTGCAGAACGTTTTCCTGCTTTGCTGTTGTATGGGACAGCTTCTGTGAAGACATCTTTGTCGATATTAGCAAATGAAATCCTCCGGTTTGGCCAGTCCATTATAGCTCCAGAAGTTGCTAGAAAAGACCATCCGAGAATCACTGGATATGTTGCATCTCTCGTTTCGACAATGTAGAAGTCGACATGCACAATGCAATCTCATATTCTCAAAGGAATTTCATGAGCTATTCCTTGAGGTGTTGCATTTGAATCGTCAGCTAGGCTAATCTTTTCTCTAGTCCTGCGCAGGTGTCTAATACCAAGTCTCAAAGCAATTGCCTTGGACATCATGTTAAGACAAGCTCCAGAATCATATAGCACGTTTTTAAACATTTCTCCTCTAATAGAACAAGAGATAAGAAACTGACCTGCACCTTCTATTTTGTGAAGTGTTCGAACAGGTTTACCTTTTCTGGCATGATTGAACAAGTCTTCTATCTCAGGGATTGATTCTTTGCTCTCACAGAAGTAGTGGCCTATCATGAAGTCCTTGCAAGCTTTGGCAAACGTGATTCCTTCAGGTAAATTTCGAACCACATCATTGAATTCGTCGAGCTTTTCCTTGCTGATTTTGTTGGTGTAGTGGCTGCAGTCTTCCGGATTTTTGAGGTGAATCGCATAGACAGCTGCTTATGGTGTTGTCATGTATCGAGCTCTCATAAAGTATCTATGGATATCCTCTTTAGACTCCTTGCAGTACCTGAAAAAGACTTGCAAACGACCAAGTTTCCAGATTTCATCAAAGCTTAAATGAGCAGGGAATGACCTGACTACGTTGTTGAACTCCATTTGTTTTTCTCTACTGATGTTG